AGTCTCTGGGTGTTACAAGGTGGCTTGGCCCAGGGACTACTTAGGGTAAGTGTTGGGCCCATAGAGCCCATTTGATGGGTTTCAGGGGGTGCACTGTCCATAGCAGTGTATTCGGCCAGGCCTTGTAACAAAGGCTGGGTCGAACCCATGTGGCTGATGTGTAGATCAATGCTTGGGTCCCACGCTATACAAGGAAGCCCAACTGAGCAACAGTTAGGAAGGTTGAATGAGCACATAAGCTTAATGGGCCTAAAGCCCATTTCGAACTAGACTAATTTAATAAGTTAAATATGGGCGAATTCTGAGATGGATCAGCAGATTGGATAGGGTCTTGACCCCATCCACTCAGAGAGTCCAGATCTGAATATGATTCAGATCTGAAAACCTCCTAATGAGATTAGGAGAAGGTTGATCTAATCTGCAGATAAGATAAGGGTTTTTCCTTATCACCTAAAAGGATGTCTAATCCGAATATGATTTGGATCAGCAACTCTTAATTGGATTAGGAACTGATCCTTTAGGGTTACAAAAGAATGAGGGGGTGGCAGCCTTTAGAAGTCACACATACTCACATCCTCTTCAGAGCTGAAATCACAGAAGGAAGAATTAAGCAACCCTGCAGAATTCTTTCTTGCCGCCTCCCTGTTCTTGCCGACCAAGTTTGCCAGTTTGATCTCCAGTTATGGGAGAAGTCAAGATTCGATCTTGACATCAGTTCTTTGTGAAATGATTGATAGGAAGCTGTGCTCATGTGCCATCCTGCTGTTTATTGCAAAGGACAGAGTTCTTGGAGAAAACACTGTTGATTCTTTTCCATCTTACACTGCGCCATATTCAGCGGGAGCAGTCTTTGGATCCTTCCTTGGGCGTGAATACCTTCATTGAGAGATAATATTTCTCTGTATCAGGTATACCTCTCTCCTACTCCTTTTGCTTCAGATTTGGTTTAGTTTATGGTTCAAGATTGATCATTGAAAATATGATTATCTAAATAGGGAATGCGATTCCCAATTAAAGGGAGAGAAAAAATTTTTGAAATTCGCCCACCTTATTCCGCAAGATTTGGGCGTCCATACAATGGATCTCTCATCCCTTCAAATTTGAATTAAGATAGAAATTTCATGCTGATGCTAACTCAGTAATTGATTACTCGGTTGGATTAGTAACACCATCCAAGCTTCTTATGTGTCTTAGAGTGGTTCCAACTTGCATAGAACTTATTAACCTTCTCTTGTATTACATCATGGTTTCATGACTTTCATCTTATTGATTCCTAATTGGCTACTTCCTACATAAACTATCAAGTATCAATCGGGGTATGCGTTTGAATCCTTAAAAGATTGATATTGAATTCTCATAAAACTTTTTTTATTTTTTATTGTAGTGCTTCTTCCATTTGTTAATGGCAAAGTTTAATTCTTATTGATTATTTTAATTTATTTTCTTGTCGAAAGCAAAGTTGCAAAACTTAAAGTCAACACTCAATCTTCTAAAAGGTATGATTTTATGAAACTAAATTATTAGTTTTTTAGTGTAGTTTCCATGTTAGACTTGTTACTCTTACTTAGTTGGCTTTGGTTAGTATTCATATTTATTATGATATCATATCTATTTGCTCATTTGTGTGATTGCTTATTTATTTTTTTTGATAATTGAAGTGTTAGTTTAAATTTCAAATTTTATGTTTTCATATGAAAGTTACACTTATTTGATAGATTTTGATGGAGGGCTAGCTTGAGACCCACCGAACCAACCGGCGCCAGCTCAAGTTTAGAAAGGACTCCTTATGCCAGCCAACCTGTATTGGATAATGGTATCGAACGGTGGATATCAAAGGCATTGACATTGGACGAAGGGCGTCAAAGGCATACTGAAGAAGAGTTTGAAGTTGCTTTACAAGTCAAGTTTCCTAGTTGTTTTACAAGTCCGAATTACCTAGTTATTTTACTCTACAAGTTTACCAGTGTTTATTATAAATACTTCTATTTCTGAGCTTTAATAACACACAAGAATTTCTTTTATCACTTCTCTCTCTACTAAGGCTCTACGCCTAATTCTTTTCATGAGGCTTCAAGTCCAAAGCCGACTCGATCGTCCGGGTGCTTGTATAGTTAGCCCGGTCGAGTACGTCATGCTGCGTCGGGTGGTATCAGAGCAGGAGTTCGCCCAGTCAGATGGCCAACCAAGACGGTAGCAGTCGCAACCAACCCCGTGACGGAGATCAGGGGTTACAAGCTGTTTGGAGAGCAATCGAAGAGCAGCGAACAACCATTCGTAACATTGAGCAACAGTTGGCAGAGATCGCTTGACAACTACGAACTTTGTTGCAGGAGGATGTTCCAAGGAATAGGAATAACGCATTGCACCAAGCCGGGGGAGACGACAACGGTAGGCCAATCATTGATCCTATACCCAGGAACCCTATTATTTATGATGATAGCGACGATGAGCTAGAGTTCGGCATTGCTCCAGTTATTCCCAGTGATGGCAGGACCGGTAGGAATTGGCGAAATCATGTTAATTTTAATCAACGTCGGAATGATGATGAGTTTAAACTCAAGGTGGATATCCCTACTTTTAGTGAAGATCTGGATATAAAGGGCCTTCTAGATTGGATCACCGAGGTTGACCGTTTCTTTGAGTACATGGAGATCCCGGAAGAAAGAAGGGTGAAACTAGTAGCTTTTCGATTGAAGGGAGGAGCATCTGTCTGGTGGGAACGAATGAGGGAGACTCGGATCAGAGAAGGAAGAGGTCCAGTTCGAACGTGGAGACGCATGAAACAATTAATAAGAGGTAGGTTTTTTCCTCCTGATTATGAACAATATATGTTTGAGTCGTATCAACGATGTGCATAGGGAACAAGAAGCGTGAACGAGTACACCTCAAATTTTCTGAGATTGGCTAAAAGGAACCAGTTGTCAGAAAGTGACAATCAACAGGCAGCCCGTTATTTGAGTGGTTTGAAGCCTGCTATTCGAGACAAGATTAGAGTACATATGGTTATGAGTGTGCAGGAAGCGAGGAACTTAGCTTTGAAGGCTGAGTTAATGTTCCAAGAGAGGACTCGAGCCGATAATTATCGACGGTATAGCGGGAATGACAACAGGCCCCTAGCGGTTGACAAGGGCAAGCCAACTCAAGGGGTACAACCCTCCCACCCGCCGAATGTAGCTAACACCAGTAAGGCCACAACGGGAGGAAAAACTCGAGTTAATACTTTAAACCCTCCTAAAACCATTAATCCTTATGCAAAACCTGCTCCTTTTAAGTGCTTCAAGTGCAATGAAGTTGGGCATAGGTCTAGTGACTATCCCAGGAGAAAGGCAGTTAACATGGTGAAGAAGGATGAGGAAGAAGTTGGTGATGATGAAGTATATTGTGGGCTCGATGGAGAGGACGAAGAAGGTACTTATGAGCATGAAGAGTACATGTGTGTTGTGAGGAAGCTCATGCTATTTCAGAGAAGTAAAGATGACACACAACGACACCGGTTGTTTCGCACTAGGTGTACGGTACAAGGTCAGTTGTTTGAATTGATTATTGATAACAGCAGTCAGGAGAATATTATCGGTAGAAATGTGGTGAAGAAACTGCAACTAATTCCTGAGAAACACCCGAACCCTTACACGATTGGTTGGATCAAGGAAGTCGGGAGCGTACGTGTGGAGGAACGCTGCAAGTTTCCATTCTCTATTGGTATGTATATTGATGAGGTTTACTGTGATATTGTGGATATGGATGCTTGCCATATTTTGCTTGGTAGGCCTTGGCAGTTTGATGCAGATGCCAAACACTTGGGTAGGAAGAACACATACCAGTTTGACAAAGAGGGTGTGCGCTATACACTGTTACCTATGGCAGAAAAGAACCAAACCAAGGCTTCAAAGGTAGAGGAGAGGAATTTTATTACCATAACACATCGCCACTCTGAGTTTGTAAGGGAGTGTAAAGATACCCGCGATGTCCACTTACTGGTTATAAAAGGGGAGAGTATGAGTGAACCACTAGGGGAGAACAAAATTCTAGTGGAAGTGTAGGGACTGCTCGACGAGTTTCATGATGTAGTTCCTGACGAGTTACCCAATGAGCTTCCATCCATGCGAGACATTCAGCACCACATTGATTTTGTTCCTGGTGCTAGCCTACCTAATCTGCCACACTACAGAATGAGTCCTAAAGAGAATGAGATTTTACGGGAGAAGGTAGAGGAACTGTTGAAAAAGGGGCACATTCAAGTTAGCATGAGTCCTTGTGCGGTACCGGCATTATTAACACCGAAGAAAGATGGGAGTTGGAGGATGTGTGTTGACAGCAGAGCAATCAACAAGATTACTATTGGCTACAAATTTCCCATTCCTAGGCTGGATGACATGCTTGATCAACTTGATGGGGCTGTGGTCTTTTCCAAGATCGATCTCAGGAGTGGTTATCATCATATCAGAATCCGTCCCGGAGACGAATGGAAGACCGCTTTCAAGACAAGAGATGGATTGTTTGAGTGGTTAGTCATGCCTTTTGGACTAACTAATGCACCAAGCACTTTCATGGGACTGATGAATCAGGTATTACGCCCTTTCATTGGTAAATTTATTGTGGTATATTTTGATGATATTTTGATTTATAGAAAATCTGTTGATGAGCACATAGGACATATCCGAGGGGTATTGATTGCGTTAAGGGAAAATAAACTATATGCTAATTTAAAGAAGTGTACTTTTATGAGCGATAGTTTATTGTTCTTGGGTTTCGTTGTAAGTAAGGATGGAATTAAAGTGGATAAGGAGAAAGTGCGAGCCATTAGGGAGTGGCCAACCCCAATGAACGTCACTGACGTAAGGCGTTTTCATGGGTTAGCAACTTTCTATAGGCGATTTATCAAACACTTTAGTAGTATTATAGCTCCTATCACTGAGTGTTTGAAGAAAGGTAAGTTCCAGTGGGGAGAGGAACATGAGCAAAGTTTTGCTCTAATAAAAGAGAAGTTATGTACCGCTCCTATCTTAGCTCTGCCAAGCTTTGACAAATTATTTGAGGTTGAGTGTGATGCTAGTGGAGAGGGCATAGGGGCTGTGTTATCACAAGAGAAGAGACCAGTTGCTTTCTTTAGTGAGAAGCTATGTGAAGCTAGAAAGAAGTGGTCCACTTATGATAAAGAGTTTTATGTTGTTGTGCGAGCATTGAAGACCTAGGAACACTATTTGATTGCTAAAGAATTTGTCCTCTACACCAACCATCAAGCTCTTAAGTATTTAAGTAAGCAAAAACAGTTGATGAGTGATCTGCATGCTAGGTGGTATGCTTTTATTGATAAATTCCCATACAAAATTGTGTATAAGGCTGGACAACAGAATATAGTGGCAGATGCTTTGAGCAGGCGTGTGGCCCTGATTAAGACTCTCAGTATCGAAATTGTGGGCTTTGAATGTTTGAAAGATCTGTACGCCTAGGATGAAGACTTCAAGCAGGTTTGGGAGAAATGCATGAACAAGCAACCAACGGGTGATTTCTACGTACATGATGGATTTCTTATGAAGGGAGACCAATTGTGTATTCCTTGCATATCCCTTCGCGAGAAAGTCATAAAGGACTTGCATGGTGGCGGCTTAGCAAGACACCTCGGGAAGGACAAGACGATTGAGGCTGTCAAGGGGCGTTACTACTGGCCTAAACTGAGAAGAGATGCGACCACTATCGTGCGTAGGTGCTATATATGTCAGACAGCTAAGGGACAAGCCCAAAATACTAGTCTTTACATGCCTTTACCAGTTCCTACTACTATTTGGGAAGACTTGTTTATGGATTTTGTGCTGGGCTTGCCGAAGACTCCACGAAACATGGATTCTGTCTTTGTGGTTATTGACCAGTTTTTCAAGATGGCACATTTTCTCCCATGCAAGAAGACCACGGATGCAACAACAACAGCCAAACTATTCTTCAGGGAGATTGTCCGTTTACATGGGGTGCCTAAGACCATTACGTTGGACCGAGATATGGGGTTCCTAAGTCACTTCTGGATGACCTTGTGGAGGCTATTTGACTCGTCATTAAATTTCAGCAGTACAGCTCATCCGCAAACTGATGGGCAGACAGAAGTGGTAAATCGAACTCTGGGTAACCTGATCCACAGTATTTGCAGAGAGAGGCCGAAGCAGTGGGACTTTGCCATTGCTCAAACAGAGTTTGCCTACAACAATGCAGTTCATAGCTCTACAGGTAGATCCCCATTTTCTATTGTTTATATGAAAGTCCCTAACCATGCGTTGGACTTGGTAAAGCTACCCAGGGTACCAGGCCTTAGTACTTCAGCAGAGCAACTGGCAGGACAGATCCAGTTAGTACAGGAGGAAGTACAACAGAAACTTCAAAGGACCAATGCGAAGTATAAACTTGCAGTTGACAGGCATCGTAGGTACCAAGTGTTTGAAGTCGGTGATGAAGTCATGGTGTTCTTAAGGAAGGAACGCATACCCGTCAGGAAGCATAGCAAGCTACAGCCTCGGAAGTACGGTCCGTACAAGATTATTAAGAAGATCAATGACAACGCTTACGTAGTGGACTTGCCAAACCACATGGGTATTTCCAAAACGTTTAATGTTGCTGATCTTCATCATTATTTGCCAGAAGTGATGCTTGCCTATCTTGATCATGACTCGAGGTCGAGTTCTTTCCAAGTGGGGGAGAATGATGGAGGGCCAGCTCGAGACCCACCAAACCAACCAGCGCCAGCTCAAGTTTAGAAAGGACTCCTTATGCCAACCAACCTGCGTCGGATAATGGTGGACATTGAACGGTGGACATCAAAGGCATTGACATCGGACGAAGGGCGTCGAAGGCATACTGAAGAAGAGTTCAAAGTTGCTTTACAAGTCAAGTTTCCTAGTTGTTTTACATGTCCGAATTACCTAGTTATTTTACTCTACAAGTTTACCAGTGTTTATTATAAATACTTCTATTTCTGAGCTTTAATAACACACAAGAATTTCTTTTATCACTTCTCTCTCTACTAAGGCTCTACGCCTAGTTCTTTTCGTGAGGCTTCAAGTCCGAAGCCGACTCAATCGTCCGGGTGCTTGTATAGTTAGCCTGGTCAAGTACGTCACGCTGCGTCAGATTTTATTGATGATGCTTGGTGTAATATGTTGATAGTAAGCAAATATAACTTATAAAATAGTTTAGAAAGTGTAGAAATCTATAAATTTTATATTTATAGATTCCATAGTCTATTCACCTTGACCTTGACAACTATGGTTCTCTATATTTTTACCAAAAATAAAAACTACTAAAAAAATAATAGATGAAAACATTATCCCAAGCGTAGCCCATATACATATAAGATGATTGGATTAGCTTGAACCATATTCATCAATAGATGTTTGATACAATGTTTTAAAAACCAACCCAGAGGCCAAACCATTTTTGTCTTTGGGTTACAAGTCACTTCTTAGAATTACTAATAGAGGACCAATCTGGTTATACCAATATCGTAGATGCAATAAAATAAAATGCAAAGAAATAGTATGGTAAAACAAGTAAGGTTTTTTAATTGATATTTGGAAGTGGAAAACATTAATTAAAGCGACTCCACTGGGGATCCAACCCAGAATCTCTGGTTCCGTAGACCAGCGCCTTATCCATTGGGCCATGGAGTCTTTTTGTTTACACGTCTAACTTAGTCCTTTATCTTTGGTTTAGTCGTTCATACATACTACAATTTCCCCCCTTTTCAGATAAAAGTCAAGTTAAAACACTTCATCCTTCTTATCCCTAACCCTCCAAAACACCTAGGTGAGCACAAAATCTCTCATTTGACCATAATAGAGCTTCGTAGTTTATCCCCATTCCAAATAAAATTGGGTATTGTTTTAGGGTTCGACTATGATGCCGAAAAAGACATGGCACCAGAAGAACTTACAAGTAATTAAATGTTCAACCAGTATGATACAAGTAGTAACAAACCTCTTCGATATCATGTCTTTCTAGCATCAAAGATTTTCTCAATATTGTTGAGTTTTATGGCATTACAGGTATCTTCCAACAATTGCAAAATAGACAGTAAAATGTAAATCAACATTTTAAAAAATGACCCAAAAGTGGAACCGTTTTAGCCACCAGTTTCCAGATGAACGGTTCGATTGTTCGGTTTGAACGGATGGCCCGTTCTAACAATAAAATTAAAAAATAAAAAACGGTCAAAACTATTGAACAGGTCAACGGATTGACGGTTCGACCGCTCAGGTCGACAGTTTGTTGACTTTTTCAATGGTTTTTGACCAAATGTCGAGTTTTGGATAAAACGGAACCAATTGCTTGGACAGTTTCCGGGCCGAATAGTCCAATCATCCGGGTCAACGACAGTTCGAAAACGTTGGTGTAAACTATTAGCATTCCAGCCATTAAGTTGATTCTATACCTTAATTAAAAACTTCCACCTTTTTCTGTACCCAAGTGAACACTCCCTAAGGCTATGTTTGGTTTGAAGGAAAAGGTAGGGAAAGGAAGGAAAAATGTGTAAAATGGATTTCTTATAATCTTATGCCATGAATCTTTTCTTTAGTCTGTAGCTTCGCAATTGGCAAGAAAAATACATTCATACAAATGATGAAGAGATATGGAGAGAGAGGCTCGTGTAAGTTGAAAGAACTCAATGTTCTCAGTTCTCACCATGCATGCATTGGGAAGAAGTGAATGAATTGGAGAGGAGCTGCATATATTGATTAGCTGCACCCAAGTCGCATCCACATCTTGAACCACTGCTTCACCAACTATGTCTCAGGTTGGAGAGAGTACCAATGCAAATATGTACAGTGCAAATATATACAAAATAATACAAAATATAAGGTCTTGCACTCTACATATTTGCATTTGTACTCCTTCCAAATTGAGCCATATGAGCCAGCACAACAGAAATAAATTAGTCGACAAACAGATCATAGGATTAGGCGACTTGAGGGCCCCCATTTTTAGTCCAGATCAGGTATGCACACACTATGAGCACGTTGAGTAAGCACTCGGAAGATTGCAGTCCACCTCAGAAATCTGAAATTGCAGCCCCCTCCTAGTCTACTAGTAGCCCCCTTATAAACCGCATCCTGCCCGTGAATTTGGCATCCTATGGGCAGGATTCAGTCCATCCCTAGAAATCTTAGCTCCACGATACAATTTTTTTACTTTTCTTTTATTTTTTTAAAACCGGTTCACGGGGCCGATTTAAGGCTCCTCCACCCCTGAACTGGTCAGTACTACACCCACTGTAGGGGCGTATCGGGGAGGTCCCGGAATGATACATATCGACCGATAAGGGTTGATACGTGTCGATACTTTGAACCTTGGCTCCACCCTAGGGGTGGATTGAACTATAAAAACCCCTCTTTTTGACACTTGTCACTTAAAATACCCCCAGCCTACCATTGAAAAAGATTAAAATCAACTTTTGATACAGGTCTAAAATATTCATTGTGTGCTCATTCACTATGCTTACAATGGTGTGCCTACTAGTAATGGTGTCAATGGACCGGTTTTGGACTAGACCCCATCCAATCCAAAATCAATTTGGACGGATTGGATTGACCAAAAAGACATAGTGGATCACTGGATTGGACCAATCCGATCCAAAATATTTATTAGATTGGACTAGACCTGGTCCGTCAGTAATAAATTTATATTGGATTTGGTAGGATTAAGCCAATATCTGGTCCATTGATATAAGATAAGAATATAAGTGTCAATGGACCGGGTTTGGGTTGAAACCAATCTAAATTAAAATAAATTTGAACAAATTGCAAATTGGATGGTCCAAACATTAAATTAGACCTGTCCAAAATGGTTCAAATTATTCATTGGATTGGATTGGACTTGGTCCATTTGTAATGGACTCACATTGGATTGGATCATATTGGACCAAATCCAGTCCAATTGACACCCCGACCTACTAGATCTAGACTCGTAGAAAATGAGTATTCTTCTCATAGGAAGGTTGTAGCCAATCCCGTTTGGCATGTCCTTTTGGGAAGATCTTTTGGTAGCTCTGACATGCAAAAGACGCATTGAGCTTTTGCAGGAAGATCTGAGAAGCCTGAAACACGTTTGGCAAATGTACGTCTTTCTGTGCATCTTTCCATGCTTTTCCGCGTAAGAACAAAACACGAAAGATGCGAAAAGCTTCATTTGAAGCTTCCCGAAATCAGCCCAA